GAAACTCCATTGGTGTATTATTGGTGCAATGCTGCTATCTGGACACGGTGTGACTATTTGACTTGAAATGTGATGGTGTGATCTGGGATTGTCATCTTGCTGCTGCTTATTTTCCTTGCACTTTTTTCTTTCTTTCTTTTTTTCTCTAAAGAGGTATGGCCTTGAGTTATCAGCACTGAACAGACCAGACCCTGGTAATCCACAATTACTTTGTTCTGTTCATCTGATTGCATCCGGACTCGAACTTCAGTCTGTATTTCAACAGTTCATAGGCGTACCAACTGACCTTCCTTCTTTCAATTTCTTCTTTGCTTCATGTTCTGCGTCACCCTAACCCCTCTTCCTTCCTTCCTCTTTCCCTTCCTCACTCCCTTCCTTCATTTTTTCCCTGTTTCTGTCATCCCCCCTTCCCTCTTCGCTTTGATTACTTTACTTCCTGGTTGCCCCCTCTTTCACTTAAATCTTCATGTTGATTGACATGATGTGCATGCTGATGGGCTGAGGTTCTGATGATCACTGGCAACCTGACTGACTAACCTGCACTTGAGGAGGAGCTTGACCTGCTTCCACGTATGGAATGAGCGCGAGCGAACCATTGAGGGGGTACCCTACCGCCACTGTTTCCGTCGATGCCTCTCTGATTGTCCGGTATGCTCCGTCTTCCTGCGGGCCTTGGTGTCGGAGTTTCTAGAGATCGACCGCTTTTGGAGAGTTTTCTGGCTGTTGTGCCCCTCCTCTTCAAGCTCCCTGATGCATGAGATGTACCTGATCGCAGCGGTCTATCCAAGGTCAGCAGTTTAGATGGAGGAGTTGTGACATTATCAACCTTGTCCAAGTAGTGTGGAACCTGCTCGCCCTTGTTTTCAATATATTCCTGCAGATTACAGACAGCCAAAAAACGGAAAAAAGAAACATCACTTCTGAAGTTGTTGTGATCTGTCCATCCATATCTGGTTCTCACCAGCAAAAGCAGGCCTCATCCTCAGGGGACATCTGTTAAAAGTTAAAACTGCACGAGGATGACACTTAAGAGAGGTTTGTAATGAACCCCGTCTGGCAGATACTCATCAGTCGTCATGCACCAGTAGTCTCGACATCTGCAACAAAGACTCCAATTATCGTGAAGAAATATCTGAAACAGTATCTCATTACCATTAGACGAAGAGAGTGGGGGGGGATTAGTCAGAGGAGAAGGTGGAAGAGATGATCAAAGATCACACAAGAGTAATCCCATCAAACCCCACTTCTTCTCCGGGCTGCTTCCCTCTCCACGTCATCAACCAGTATATGATAACAAGACTAACAAGTATAATAATCCTGATCACACAGTACTGCCACTTGGCACTCTTATCTCGTGAAGCCAATGAAGACACAGCAGATTATAGTGACGACATCAACCTCAGGTGAGTACCCGATCCCAATTCTCCACAGATCCTGATCTTCCTCCTTGTCGCAATCAGTCACCTCATGTAGACAGCACGGGCAATGCCACGTCAGCAGAAACAGGTGGCATGCACCACATCATCAATGTAGACAGGTGGCAACACCACATCAGAATGAAACGTAGACCAAGGCAGCACCACATCAGCATGTAATGTAGACCAGAGGCAGCGCCACATCAGCATGCAATGTAGACCAGAGGCAGCGCCACATCAGCATGCAATGTAGACCAGTGGCCTGCACCACATCAGCCCTGAAGACAGGTGGCAGCGCCACATCAACAATGCCTGGCGCCCAATGCAGAACGCGCCAGCATGCTGTCACAGTCCGCTTCGTCGTTCACAGTCCCTGCGCGCAGCCAGCGCCCAGCCAGCGTCTCGCCAGCGTCTCGCCAGCGTCGTGCCAGCGTCAATGCCAATGTCTGGTCGAAGTCAAGCCAGCGTCTAAGCAGCATACCAAGACTGAATGTTGACCACCTCGAAGTCAGCCTTTAAGTAGCATTTGACGAGGCTGTCTGGCCTCGGTTCCCTTCCCCACAGTCGTCCAGATTGACTCACAGCCGAGGGCCTGGATTGTACAGTTGCAGACTTCCCTTTGGACCTGATGCTTGTCTGGGTACCTGCATACAAACAAATGTGCATGCCTGACCGGCGGCCTGGGCTGGGTACCTTTGACTTTAACTGTTGGGTAGACCGACAGTTGACTTGATCAACTGTATCTCTTCCAGGCCCTGAATCGTTTTTGTGGGGTGTTTTGCCCCCCCTTCAGCCTGGGTCTGAGTGCGGCCTGTAGCCCTCAGACTTTCCACGAGGCATACAGCATAGGTTATTGCAGGTTAAAAAAAAAAAAAAAAAAAAAAAAGGGGGAAACTACGCGGGAGTCACAAAAATGAGTTATAATTGCACTACTATGGGCCAAGATACAGTTTCGAATTGCAGTTCGGGCAATGTATACAACCCAGGTTTCTGGCCAGGTAGGGTGCCCGAACTGCGATTGCAAACTGTATCCCACCCCATAGTGCAGTTACAACTCGTTTTTGTGACTCTACTGAAGTTACCCCAAATAATAATTATAACCGGACATCCGTTAGAATTGAAATGATACATAGAAGGAAGATTAGCATGGGCCCTGCACAAGGATGACACGCATAAATCGAGAAACAGTCCGATTTTTTTGAAACAAAGAAAAAACAGGCCGAGGAAAGGAAACAAAGGCTTTCTGAGGAAGAGTCGACAGGCGACCAATTACTTATTGTTCACTGGTTTACTGATTGTCAATTACTTCACAGTGTTCACACGCTCCAAAGAAAGGAGTGATACAGACAAAGAAAAAATAAGAAAAGGACTTTAAAGGAGTGATACAGCCTGTACTGCAAGGAAAATGAGCGATAGTGAATTCCAGAAACCAAGCAGCATCATACACATCAAACCAGATAGTCTTGACCTTGAACCAAAAGCAGAATTGCAACTCGAGTTCCACCAAATAAGACCACAGCAAAACATCACAAGTGACAATGTTGGAATGGTCTCATCATCATCAACAATGAACCAATGTCGAATCCCTATCTGGCACTCAGCGCCCAGACTACAAATGGCAGATCCTATCTAGCCTATCTACAAGGCCGCTGGTGACGTGAACAGATTCCCAAAGTACGAGCAGATCTCGGCCAATGCCGTTCGCATCAAGCACCAGGTATGTCCCTCGCTTCACTCACAACCTCGATCCTCCTCACAGATGCCACATGCACCCGAAGACCACCATGCGCACCATCCAGCAATGTGGAGGCCAGCTCGGCTATGGCTGCCTGCTTCTTCCCTGCTTGCTCGTGAGCGCGTAGGCACTCGCTTCAGCAGCTGGCGCAGCAGCGCTTGCGCATAAGCAGCGAGTGCCCAAATGTGTAGCCAGAAGCCAGGCCCTTTCCTTTATGGAAAGTGGCTGCCAGTCGTGGGCTGCCTGGCTGGCCTGGGCCTCTCCCAGGAAGCTTCCGATAGGTCCCGAGTGGCTGAGCCCCTGTACCAGGGCCTGGGGAGGTTACCCGTGTCCAACTGTCAAGCTGCCTGTGTTCAGTTCATGCCGCGTGTCTAGTCCAGGGCCTGTCTCAGATACATTTGGAAAAAAGCAGCCAGGCCTGGGCTCACTCAACCAACTGATGCAGCGCAACTGCCTGAATTTCCCCGTTTGCAACCAATGCCAAATATAGGCCTCTCGTCATTTGGCAGGCCCACCTTCACTTAGGGCGGGCATGCATGCTGAAGACAGGGCCCAGTAGGGCTCTCCGAGGACAAGGGCCTCACAGTACCTGCCTCGGGTCCGAAATTCTCCGAATGGTACAAGCACATAACTGTTGACAAACAGATCCACTATTCGAACCCTATGGGATACCCAATTCGAGACCAAGAAAGTGTGTGACACAGATGTCACACACTAAGAGAGGAGAGTGCATGTGGCACGCATGGGCCTGCCACACTGGCCCTGGGGTCCAGATGTGCTGTTGGGCACTCCTATGTCCACACACCTTATTTTGGGGCGGCCATAGGGCCATCGCCCTCGGTTCATTCTTTCAGGCTGCATCAGTTTTTTTACTTCCCCCCCCCAAAGAAACAGAACCTTAAGGTTCTAGGTCCGTATCCATTCTGGGGAGCGTCAGTCCGGTTCCTTTTCCACCGGCAAGCCAAATACTTACATCAATATAACACACATTTACGCTCCTCCCCATTCTGGTTGAACAGCTGCTTGGGAGACCCGAGTGGGCGGCATCGATTACTTCCGAAAGGAAGGATGTACCTCCCTTCACCCCTGCCTAAGCTAACCTATTTTTGGTTTAATTATTAACTTTCATATCTCCGTTGTGCTTGCTCTTGTACCCGACTCGGTCTAATCTTTAGCAGGCCGTATACCGGATCTGTCTGCTCCTCTCAGCTGATCTATAGCTGTCTGTTATGCATGAGTTATTAAAAAAAAACAAGGGGACCCGCCGCGGCTCCGCCCGCGGCAGAGTTGGAAGAGGGAGGGAGAAGTGGGAGGTGAAGGTGTGGAGAAGTTAGGGATAGATGGGGAATGAGAATTGAAAGTGAGGAATGTGTCCACAGAGAATGAAGGAGAAGTCAAAGATCTGAACCCACCATGAGATAGGAATGAGCAGGTTGAGGAATGAATGAAGTAAGAAATGTTGCAGTGATGCCCCTCTCTCCGATCTTGATCCCTCTCCTCCCCCAATCCCGGTTCCCCTAAAGGTATCCATCCCTTGCGATC